GTTCAAGTAGAACATAAGGTTGACGGAAACTCGGGGACTGCGCCTACCTGATGAGCCCCAAGAAGGGCGAAACTGGTCGTGGGCTGTCGAAGAGTTTTCAGCAACCTTATGAGTAGTTTCCTTTATGAAAATGTCCACTTTCAGTTGAGACAAGCCATTCGATACCGTGGACGAAATTAAAACGGGAATCGGCGACACACGAGGGATTTGCAGTGAAAAACACTTGTGTGAATGCTGATAATTATGCAGAAAAGCTACATCTGCTGGAAAGAGCAACAGAAGTCATCCTGAAACTGACTGGACTGGACTTGGAGCGTCTGTCCGTTTGCGAAACAATAAAAAATAGCTGAGCAAATGTATTGAGTGAGAAAATCGGTGGTATCTTTGCGGAACGAGAGCGGAGAAAATTAAGGGAAAAACGGGCGGTACAGTACACTTTGCAGAGGACAGAAAAGGTCACTTCTTACAGGCCTATTCGCCCGGGAAGTACGAATGTCGGAACAAATCCAGTTCGTGATTCGGTAACAAACTTGGAATGCTCTAACCAGTGGACGAATTCAAGTGATAATAACCGACGTTTCAGGATGGAGACGCGAGACAGGTCCTGAGCATTAATCGATCACGATCAATTATGCCGCCGTCGAAGAGGACAATGTAGGTCGTTTCGAATCGGTTACAGCATGACTAACGGCAGCAAGGCATCACAACTAAAAACTGACGGTGTGCCATCGATGATGATGATGACCGAACCGTTGCCAATTCGGACCTAAGATCCATCTGGCGTACCTGTCTGACAGAGGAAACTGTTAAGAGATCTGCAAAATGGAAACTATCTCAGTTGACGCATACAGTTCACACTTAAAATAATGCCAGACACAACTTTGCAAAAGGGTCAGAAAATTTGTTTCATCTACCCTAGCCTGTGACGCAATTTCTCACGGACAAGTATCTATGGAAACAGCTGAATATCCTCAAGTGTATAGTGTCCTTTTACAGAGTTTTCCAGGTTACTTTAGTTTTCTATCTAGGAAACACATTCAAGGAATTTCAAAACGTTTCCTAGAGAGCGATTTGCTTCCTCACCTGTTTCTGGTACTAAGCCAACAAGATCTTATTTTTCATCAGGTGAAGATGAGGCAAAATCTTCCATCACGTATGTTCATAACTCTTGATAATCTGCGTTTCACACAATTGTCAGCGGAATCTAATGTATTACAATCTAATGTATTACCTTATTGCGATGAAAACGATCGTGAGATTATGATCTCCAGAGACATTGAGTTGTCTTGTACGCTGCCTTGCATTCAGCTATATTATCTTCACCCGGTATTCCGGCTGTGAAATTTTCCGACAGATGCTGCTGTAGGTGTCTCAGATATTTGCTGGTCCAAGTTATCTGCAGTCAAAAAGAATCCAGCTGTGCTAATGAAGTAAACTGCTTGAAGTTATGATAATTTCACATATTTGGATTAGGTGTACGAGACATTTCCAGCGTGATGTTTCCTGCTGGATGGAAAAGTGAACAATGTGGGAACCAGAGGGTGTCGCCTATTGGCGGGCGAGGGGATTGCAACTAAAAGGATTGTGAGCTTCCAAAAGCACTTCTTTAGTTAATAAAACGGCCGTATCTCCAACCACCCAAAAATAATCAGTGTGGAAGTGTTGCGGAATATGTGTGGCTCTGGCGTGTTGCTTTGTTGTCGGTCTGTTCGGCGAGCTTGGTAGACAGATATCATAAACGTTTATTCACTAACCTAGGGGCATCGTACGTGCACTCACTGATCTTAGTCCAGAACAGTCAAAATACCTTAGCGTTTTATAAATCTCTGTCTACCCCAGGAGCATAACCCACACAAAGCGCAACCATGGTGATTTTCCAACCAGATCTGCCTCGTGAACACGAATTACACCTGACTTTTGGTCCTGAAAACAAGTCCTATTATGGCGGCCTGTGTGCAGCACATTCAGTTGAAGAACATCATAAACGAGAGATTCAGTTGAGTCTCTCGTGAAAACCAAATTGATTTGCAAATTAGTGTATTTCTCGAAAATGGTCCAATTTGGGTTCAAGTAGATCATAATGTTGACGGAAACTCGGGGACTGCGCCTACCTGATGAGCCCCAAGAAGGGCGAAACCGGTCGTGGGCTGTCGAAGAGTTTTCAGCAACCTTGTGAGTAGTTTCCTTTATGAAAAATTCCTATTTTGGTTGCTCAAAGACACCAACTTGAGATGAGATGCGTCTACTTGTGTGTTTAATAAAGCTGCGTCAGAGTTTGTATTCACTCTTTGTAAAAAACACAAAGACTACCACAATTTCCTTGACATCCTCGACTCATTGACCCCAAAATTTGCAAACAGTTTAGGACAGGAGTGGAACAAATGCAAAACAGCTAACCACAGTGATGTTCGAATGGTTACTGGCCGGAAAGTCGCGGTTTCGTGAGAGATTCGTGCGATGCACGCTGCTGATGGCTGCAAATATGGATGAAACAGCTGTGTAAAGTGCCTCTCGGCTTTTCAGCACAGATTAGCTTGACTGACAGGATGAAATTTCAGTTGAAAACACATGTAATAGCAAACGCCCACTATGAAGTTTCGTTATTCAGCCAAGAGGGGCTTTTAGCCTGCCGAAAAAATGTCTACTATATTTCGCCTGCATGCACTGAGTACGTCACACTCTTATGTGGATTTCAGCCATAAGTATACAAAGTGCGTTGCACTTTCCGAATCGGATATGTCTCTTGTTTAACGGGCTTACCGTGTGGTCTGTAGCACCTGAAACTGAACACCATGTTGAACCTAGATACTAGAACTTTGTGCAACAAATGTAAAGTGTATTCTCGTTTTTCTGAGATGAAATCAAAACGGGAAGAGGAAACTGGGGAACTGCTTGTCGATTACCAGACTATGGATGATAGGAATCACATACCAAGCTGTGGAGGTTCGAAGCTGTGGGAATATCCTACTATGGCTCATATGGAGGCGGTGCAGTTGGCCACGTTCCGGGTTTAAGATAGTTAGTTTCAGATGATGCGTATGGAACCGTTGAATTCTGCGCGACATATGGATATGCAGGGGGAATACCATCCGTTGACACATTCGTTTCCACACGGGATATGTTTTCTGGGTACTGTGAGGGGCTAGAAACGGATGCGGGTTGGGGATGTAGATCCGGGGGCTGTTGCTCGTTGATCTTTTTTCTCCAGTGACAGTCACACACGTCCGTAAACATGAGTATCACATAGATCCCACAAAGGCTCCCAGCAGCAACGTTGAGCGCACCCATAGTGAAAAGGGCGAACTGAGATTCAGACTCGTCCATATATTCTACCAGCCCGTTTATACCCAATGCGATCGAGACAGCCGTACTGCAGATGGCTAAAAATATCGCTAGAACTAACCATTTCCGGATGCGTGTGCAGGCAGCCGCGAAACAGAAAACTGGTGAAATAAGCATCACGCTAGCTGATAGGTAACCAACTGGTAGACTTTCTTTCGGCCAGGACCATTGGGAATCGTTTTCCGAGGTGAACACAAAAAACAGCTGTGCGGCGTACAGACCCGCACTAAGCAGCGCGATAACCACGCCATAGGCCAAGAGATGGGAAGGGTGTTGGATTTGCTTCATTATTTTTACAGCCGTTCCTCAATGTATGCAATCATTCTCTGTTGAATAAAACGGTCATTCACAATAAGTTCAAAGTTTAATCCAGATTATGGACCCGGGGTTAATGAGGTATATCTGTGTTCGGTCAATTTGAATATGAAATTTTGTCGAGGTTGTCTGCGTCCCTCAAACTGGGAGATTTTGTGACCGAAGTAACTGTGGTAGTTCACTTCTGAATCGAACAGTTGTCCAATTTCGTTCACGTGCCGGTGCAACTTTGTTTTCCAAAAGCCCATTGGTCCCGACGCATGTTCCGCACATCCGTATGTCGACCAATCAGCAGCGGGTATGGCGACCTTCGAAAGCGTTCTACATTCGTCATTTGCGTGATGCCCTCAAACGATGGGCTGACATGAAAAGCGATGAACTGAGATGAACCGCCTATTGACACCCCTAAACTAAACAAAAGTACGGGAGGTGTCAGTCGATCAATAGGAAAGAAACCCTATAATCGATTGTTGATCAGGTGGCTGTTGATCTGTTCGCCGAGCTTGGCAATTGGCTTGCAAACGTTTCGTCACCATACCAGTAGACATCATCAGTGCGCACTGATGATGTCTCCTCGTATGGTGACGAAACGTTTGCAAGTCAATTGCCAAGCTCGGCGAACAGATCAACAGCCACCTGATCAGCAACCAATAAACTCACCCGAGCCACCAATATTTCAACAAATTACCAAACCCTATAATCGAAATCAATCAACTCCTTTTTCCTAAAGATATGTTGTCTTTCAGCTCAGCTACTTCGGAAACGTTCATTGCTATCCGGAAAATGAATTTTGGATTTGTTCCCTGTTACTCCTCGTTCAAATGTTTCTCTGTTACATTCCACGTACCTGTCACACCGACTCATCAGACAGTCGATGTTCTTGAGTTTTCTCTATTCCGGCAATAAGTTGACAGTAAAACTGTTTTCTCTCCCCACCAACACCACCACAAAAACGGCCACTCTTTGTAGTTTCGTTAGCTCACATACGTGTGGCTCTAAAACAAAGGGTTTGTCTTCTCATTTCAAGCATATACATGAATATTTTATCATAAATATGAATTTCAAGAACGACTGTGAATACAATGGGGCGACTCACCGTGGTGATTTGCCACACCACAGTCTTATGCTTTGCAAACTGGCATGTCGGGGTGCGATGGTTCTACTAACTTGTGCTCGGAGTCATTTACAATACATACTTGATGTCCAGCCATCTCACCAAGATAGATGGCAGGAAGGTCAGATTCCTGAAACTAATCCCAGAATGCCCGAAGCCAACTGAGACCGTCAAACTCCACTAAAATCGCAGTAGGGAAGCCATCAAGCATCCAGGCCAGTCAAGCAGTCAATCGATTCATCAACGGCCGACGATGTTGAGGGTTCAGGCATGCCACAGAAGTAACGGCCGATAATGATGGGTGTTCATCCAACTCCAATCGGACAGTTTGTATTGAAGGTCAAAAGCGCGCTTAAAAAACCTTGAGACTCCTCGTATCTTTTACACTCGCCAGTTCACAACACAGCTGTTGTGTTCGAGTCTTTTCCTGATACTAAGGCACTAGAGCGGAGACAGCAGTAGTGTGGCAAACGCCCATTTTTATCACTCAATAAAATAATTTCTCAAGAGGGGCATACAACAACAACCTTTCATTCCTGCAGTATATTTAGTCTCAAATAGGGCCATGATTTTCTCGCTCGAGTAGTGTTTATTTCCTCTCGCACAAACGGCACATTGTTTCATGTACTGAAGGATACTTATGAACGAAATAAGTGTGAGTCGCAGTACATATTCACCGAGGCTCCTAACTTGGTGAAAACCCGGATAAAGTAGATGAGAAATTTTTGCACATAATCCTGTCGCTTCTGTTGTCATAACTACCACTAGGTCGCGAAACACTACGGTAATGTCTCTTCCTTGAATCCGTAGTTCAGCTACCAGCTTAGTCTTCAACTACTAGCCAGGAGGTCACAAGTCCTTGAGTACCTTCAACCAGAGATGTCTCAGCCACCCAACGTCATTGTGCTCAAAGTAGGTTGCCACGTTCTTCATTCTTCGTCTCCAGGTCACGTGTCGTCCACCTTGTAATGGCTTCCAGTGGGAACTGTCTTCAGCAAGCAGAGCATGCGAAGAGCAGCCGAACCAACTTATTAACTCAACAAGTGGCTGATTTGTTGTAAAAAGAACTAGTAATCTTACATCAGTATTCCTACTTCGATGTCGTCATGTTTCATGTGTAATGCTTCAAGCGAACCGATTGTCAAATGCAAGCAGTCTTCTCTTCTTTTCAACCGGCTGTGGCTAGGTTTCACACGAAGCAACACTGTACGCCCTCCCGCGTTTTAGGCCTCTCATCCACAGACTCATGTCATGTCGACTCTATAGGTTTCTAGGTTACTGAAAAGAGCACTTTTTAGGCCCATTCGACGGAATGCAGTGGTCCACTGGGATCAATTATGTGAAATTTTCAGTATCGCCCCCTGCTCTGCTGGGTGGATCGCAGTCCAATGAAAACTGAGCACGTCCAGAAGGCTAGTTGACTGAGTGAGTGAAAGTTATTTGCTCGAAGAACAAATCAATACAAAGTGCTGATCGTTAATGAATGCATAGACCTAAATGCTCGATACGTTTACGCGCTCACACCTAGTTAGCAATCACAGCAAAATGCCTCACGAGTTTTTTACCCAACTGAAGAGGAAACTACACACGTGCTGGATTCACTTTGACTCTAGCTGTCTTCATCTCATGTTGCAACTTTGTAGCTTGTCCATCAACGGTGAAAGTTTACTTTTTGGTCGACGTTGGTTGATCAGAAATTGATCATAGGCATAGACGTCAGCTGTTACTTGAGTTCCTTGTGCGCACCCGTCACATGATTCTGACACTTGATGTGCTTTCAAAATCAATTTACTACATTGGCGACTGCCTTCCAAAATCGGAGTGGTCTTTCTAGCCGTCTACGTGACTCGTTTGTCACGTGACTGTATTTGAAAATCCAACCAGTTATCCAATTCTGTTCGAGCAGTGGATGTGCAGAGTTCACGGAAAGTCCGCGCGTATTATAGATTCGTAAAGTAGAGGGGGATTTTTCCTGTGTAAACACCCTAATTTATGCCCCAATGAGAAGCAGCACGCGCCAATTCCAAGTTAGATAAAGACATATAACCTGATCTGAAGGTACACGATGCATTTGTTTTGTCCGATTTTGCCCCAATGAGAAGCAGCACGCGCCAATTCCAAGTTAGATAAAGACATATAACCTGATCTGAAGGTACACAATGCATTTGTTTTGTCCGAATTTCACATAAAATTTTAGCAGGATGTAGAGATATGAAATTCCGAACGGCATTTGAACCATGTAAGCACCGTTCCAAGGGGCTACAGATCAAGTATTGTTTGTTTTCTGTCCTCTTACGTATACAGGTAAATGAAACTGAATAACAATTTGACACCAAAAGCCTATCCTTTTCAATAGGTAGTGTGCAAATTTACAAGTGGGTCCGGTTGCCTATTACGAATTAGCCTAACCATTCCATCGTGTTCGATAGGGGTTATAGCCCCAAAGTATAAATGCAGCGTATACAAAGATTGTGGGTGTCGACATCAGTCCTAGGGTAGTCTGGGTTTAGGGCTGTACAAGAAAGTGCAAATTCAGTTCTTGCTATCTGAAACTGTCGCCAGCTTGTTGATGACAAATCCACACCCCCTAAAATGAAGATGACAGGTATAAACGGGGCTAGACTTAGTCTCACATGTCGTTTTCCAATCAATTGTATATCTGTATTGTATATTTGTATTTGTATTGTATATTTTTCTATTTTCTCACCTTTGCAGGGATTTTGATCCAAAAGGATCTGGTTCGTTTGTGAAGTCCAGTAGTCTATCCCAGGCTTATGTGTCGAAACGAAGGTCTGGTCATATGGTACTCTAGCTCACAGTTGATACTGTTATCTCTGCCTCAGTGAAGTTTAAACGGCATTGGAGTTAAAAACTCAAAAATGACGGCACTAGCGTCGTAGTAATGATTGATCTCGTGTGAGTAAAATTTTGATCCGCAAAAGCAAAATACGTATAACTGAGCGGCCGATGTATGGCAGCAGCTTAAAAAAATGGTACCTAAGCTTCCGATCACAAGTATTTGGGACTTTCTTTGGCGTGAAGGAACTATGGCTATTCACAAATTCGCCAAATCCCAGACTACTCACTAGTAGTGATAAATTCACCGCAATTATTTTCACGTCCGCAACGCACCCATCACTGAACTTAGGGGATAAAAATTTGTCGACAGTGCATCCGTGCTAGACCCAATGTAATTTTTTGATTACATCAAGTTGAATGACGTGCAGAGGAAAGATTTCACAAAGTTATTGGCAATGACCCAATGGGGCGTGTTCTTCAGGGAATTTTCAACTATGAGCGAATGGACACCAGCAAGTACAAAATTAAGAAAACCCCATTTCGTCCCAGTTTGACCCGAAAAACTTGTTCTTTTCGGTTAACTGTAAAACTCTTGCCGAAGTACTTTGACTTTTTAGTTCATCTGTGGAAATCTCCACGTTTCTTTTAGGCGAATTTTTTATGCGCAAAATATCTCATCAAGTGAAGTGGTGTCGCCCACAGAGGCACAACTTATTTGAGTGGTTCATATCATTCCACGCGGATCTATCGGTATTTGGGATCAGTGTTTGCAAAAAGTACAGTATGCTAGATTGTAATGGAGATAACTTATGCGTAGCTCTCAGGTACTGCTTTCTGAAAGGGACCATCCGACCTTTCTATGCCCTCGTGGATTAACAGGGACAGTGTCTGACAAAATTCCGACGTAATTAGTGTGCTCGGTGATCTGTTTGTTGACTGATCAATGTTCTAAGCATCGTGCCTTGTTTGCTCCGTCCAAGAACAGCTCAGCTTTATTCCAAAAAATGTGACGGTATTCTAGACCGATGTAATGACGCGATCAAGCGTCGACAAAATCGCGTATGCAACCAACTGGCCACAGAAACGAACAAAAGTTTCTACGTTATGACTTGGATGCAGTTATTTCTAGCACAGAGCCATTATTGCTTCTAAAATAGCTTTGTAAAATATTTCATTGGAATTTCGTGAATTTGTCCGGCCTCGTTTATTAAATTGCTGGTGTGTCGTGGTACAGTGCAGTGGTAGACGGCTTTAATACGTGACTGCCTAGCTACAATACCAACCGAAAGGAAGCATGAGGGCTGAGGTTTGACGAAGCCCACACAAAAACACTGGAGATGCCGCGGTTGGTTTTGAACTCCGAGCCTTCCGATAAGTTTATTTGCGCTTCAACCACCGGGCCATCTCGAAGCAGGGAAACGGTGAACATCCGTGAATCACTGAATCTACCGAATGCTTATCAACAGCATTCTGGGCAACGTGGAAAAGTATGGTTGCAGCTGTTGTTGCGGTAATCCGACCTTACCTGACATATTCCTGGCAGAGACTGAAACGTCCGAGGATTTTTGTGACACACTGTCATGCAAACACATGAATTAGTGATCCAGACGAATGGTAGGCGGTTAAGGTTAGGTCGTTTTTCTTGTAAGGGGATGATTATCCCGTCTGCTTACACGATCACCTGCTACGATTAGACTAACCGGTATCACACAGTGAAATATGAATATTTATGCATCTCAGTCCCAGAGCCACAGTCAATTTCCCATAAGTGACTGAGAGTGAAGCCAAGTGTACAATGAGACGAACTAGTGTAGTCTGCGAGTGATATGCGAAAGAAGGGTCGATGTAGCTCCTTTTGTCAGTACACACATACGGCTGTTGAATGAAGGGAAAATAACGTGAGGACAGATGAAACTCAGCCAGACGATCAATAGCAAAAGTCTCACTAAACGACAAACTGTGCGTACTGGATCTTGTAGCCTGTTTGGATGAACTTGATCTGCATTGGGTGACGGGCACTACGTTAGCAGGTAGGTGACTCCTTGCCTTCAAGTTAATTGTTTCGACGTGAACATTCTTGACGTTGAGCAGCGACTCATCAACAAGTTGTGAGAATCTGGTCATCTCAGTTTTGTAGTGAAGCGTCGGATAGAAAAGCGATGTATTATTGTGTTTTGAACATGGATCTTTGGACGAATGAGTTGTTTTTTAATTTGCTGTATAGTCACGTTGCCACTGTCCACAAAGGAACCAACAACGTCGAACACCTGTTGTTATTATTCTGTCAGTCCACCTGACATCTTTTACTTAGTGCCTTGCCAGCTATTTTTACTTTAAAAAATTCTTGGAATTGAATAAATTGAAGCATCCGTCTCAGCTAAGAATACACTCTATGGTAATTGTAGTAACGGTATTTCTCTCAGCTTAGTTCTGTGTCTGAGCCTTTCAAGCTAGCGTTCACGTCAAAAACAACCACCAAGGGTGCACAAGGTATATTAACACCCAAAACGAATTCAGGAACAGTTGTACAGCGCTTCGTATATGTAGTGTAGGCGGTTATAACTTTCTGGGATTTCTGACGCGTTCTGGATGCGTCATTGGTAACCGGCATTCGGCTAATACTGAGTCCTGATTGACTCTTGGATCCAGACTTTCGACCAGTCAGATCACGGTTTGATGCCGGACCGTCAAGCGTCCCGCATTCCTGGCCAGTCTTGCGTGGGATGGACTTCTCGGCCGTAGCAGCACTTGAGTGCGAGCGGTAAAGCGGGATCCGTGTGGAATTCCGCCTAACAGTATTACAATATGGCTGAACGTGTAAATCGTCCGATGGGATTTGCTCTACATTCAGGTCTGATGAGAGGCAACCACCAATCTGACTGAATCGCATCTACTTGTCTTGATCACATTCCCAAAAGAGTAGAATGAGCGCCGTTCCAAGGGCATATGGGATAAAATCCACTCAGCATTGAAAAAGCTTTCGTCGCCCTCCTTATAAGACATTCAACTTGTAAAAGGCACACACGAATTCAACCTAACTCATACCATCCGCAAGCCATATGCAGTAAAGCGCCACTTGCCATGGCCCCGGATGTTATTTTTTCACGATCTCGAATCGATCACCCTTCAACTCTAAAGTGCGTTCAACTTCTTAGTTTGTCAGTCCCATTAGTACACCACAAAAGCTCATAGAACGTGGCCAGAAAACTTAACCTCATAAGGGTACGCAACATCTCAAAGTGCTCTTGTTTGAGTAAATTGGGGGGTAGGACAGCTGTGATTTTACAAGTTGAATGAAAGGTCTCTGTCACCAGGTATTTGTTTTGGCATATTAAATGTCGTTAACACACAATCAGAAGAGATTTGACATTACTAGGCTAGGAGTGACTAACGGTGTCGCCAGCAGCTCTGAAAGAAATCATACTGCTGGCAAACTGCGGCCAGTCATCCTACAAAGTTTATCCGACAACAAGGGATATTGGAGTATGATGGCTAACTTTCAATGCCACGAACCTTCATACCTTCTTTATCTCTCTTCGGAAGTAGTACTCATTCACAGTGGTTGTCGGTTCCGCTACTCAGTTAGCCTTAGAAACCTTCTGAACTCGTAATTGATGGCTGTGCTGAAAAACGGAGACGAACAGCCCAGACGATCGATTCATCGGACCACTAACATAGCCACCATATTCCTTTTCATACGACTGAGAATGAATAGGTTACTGTTGCATTTTCATGGCAACCACAGAACTGTGGTTGTGTTCCGTCCGGTCTAGCATGAGGTCAATGGTGACGGCGAACTTTAAACCACCAGCATTCTGAAGATTTCCCCACATTTCTTTCCAAAGCTCTGATGAAAGCTCGTATAGACCTTGTTCCACCGGTTGGCGTTCTATGGTGAACCACATATTCGAGACCACACCAATAACATATGGGCGAACACGTGATAGAAACATTATTCCCTATCGAACATCACTTGCTATAGTTCTTTGAATCAGCATTGTGGCTCTACCATCTTAACAGTGCAGTTTCTTCTGGTGCTGCGTCCTTGACTCTCTAAAGACTTAGCTAACTACACGACTGTAAAAGCCGATCGCGATAGTACACTATTTCAGTCACAACCAATCGTCGCCTGTTATCATAAAGTGTGTTTACCTGCAATTCAGGGGAAGCAGATCCACTTACTCGTCACTTATAGTGGTTTAGTAGACTATTAGAGTCGAAACTACAGATGGGTTTTATGGAAATCTAGGAACGGTCCTGGTGTTTCCCTCCGAAAAGGACGAAAGCAGTAGAGCCGGAGCTACAAGCATTCGTCGGATAGCTTACTTCGGGTTGCAATTTATCATGAATGAATCTCGCTTATATCTCTTACGCGAAAACAAATGTGACAGGAACAGACTGCCTATCAGTGCATCACCATAAAACCACAAAAAGCAAGAACACACCGAACGTTGATGCCTATTGGCACAAAGTAATTCAAAGGATAGAGCCAATCAGCGCATCGGAGCGGTGTGACAGGACCCACCTACGCACATCACGTGACTAACAGCAACACGCCCAAGACCGGAAACGTGGGAAATTAAAAACACAAATTGACAGGATAACAAAACAAACGAGGAGTTTTCAGCTTCCAATATGCGCCGGCAAACTATTGGTACCACGCCCGCCTCGCATGTCAAGTGGCTGGATTAGAAATCCCGGTATGGTCATACCCATGGGCTGCTGATTGAACCGAATAAGGGTGAAACTCTGGCTGACTAGAACAACCGCCCCAGGACCGCGATGATGTGGACATGATGTCGGAGTTAAAAAGACAGTTCGATCCATTTAGCCAAAGTAGGAGCATGAAAGAGACAACAATAATGATAGTCACAGATTCAAATTTGACTTGGCATGTGCTAGAATTATATATCTTCAGCAGCGACGATTGCCAGTCGGCAGGCCAATGAAAGGCTTAAAAATAGCTAGGGAATCATATATACGTAAATGCAGGATCTGTAAGGTAATCACAGCACTGTCGTATTAAATATCCTTCCTCCTCTCCTAGCATATTTTTCTTAGTCTGGGGCTACCTGATTGGCAGGTTCTGAATTGATCGACAGAACCAGAGTGGTTATTGGGTTGTCTCTCGAGGAGTTGAATAAACCAACCGAATCATCTAAGCAAAAAGAACATCTTGGCCAACTCAGAATTCACAATTCAGCTGAGTTCGGCATGCACTGTTTCAGTGACTGTACAAGGCTGGCCTTAGCTGCCATGCATCCGAGGTTCGAATTCTGGCGAGATTATGGATAGACACTACTGAAATGTCATAGTGAGGATGGAGCTAAAGTTCAGTTCTCCCCCTCTTTTGTATGGAATACTGGATGGACTGTTCAAACTACGGTGAAGGAAATATCAACGCGCCCTCAATGGCGCTCATGCATCAAACCTATTGCCTTCAATGCATAGCTCCTTTTCCACCCAGCCCCCCGCTTGACAACCCACTGACAGTGCTAGATTTATGCACCAATTTGCCAGCTCGCGCGTGCAATGCGGAGCTACCTACCCCCTCCCCTACATCATCGGTGAACGAAACTGCGGCATGCAC